GCAGCTGGTGTGGTTCGGCCACCGTAATGTCCGCTCGTGTTCGCCACCACTTTCTGACTGCGGCATCATCCACAGCAAAACCGATCGATCGAAAATGGGCAACGGCTCTACTGGGCACACGCCCGCTATGTTCTTCAATCCACAAAATAACTTCTTGCTTTCGCCACATCGGAATGGTGTTGCGCCGTTCCGCCATACCTTTCAGTGGTGACCGGGTGCCACAAGTCGATGACATTGAAATTTCTGTGGTGGCAATCGTCCATACTATTCGTCCTTGATTTTGTCAGGTCATATAAAGTCATTATAGCGGGGAAGTGGGGATTGTATTTTTGAGGACTCTATTCGGGACTCTAAACGGGAAAATCCGCTAGTCTTTCGGAAGCGAAATTTCGGCGTCAAATAGTACTATTTTTTGCTTTAATATGATTGCTTCGTATTCCGCACGTCTTGGACGTTACACTGCTCCCCAGAAAAGTGTCACTGCCGTGTCACGCAAACCTCGCGCTATAAGTGTTACATATAGTCTTAATTAAAATTGATGAGCCGAAAAATTGGTACAATTATTTCCTAATATATCGCTACTGATTTCAAGCAAAAGGAAGTACTGTTTTCTTGTAAGACATCAATCCGACTCCTGGGTGGCGCTTGGCCATCCCATTCTCTTTGCATCATAAAACGCGCGCATTGAGTGCCAAAGCTTCACTTTGTTGCATCTCGTATTTGTCCGTGTTTTGACAGTTGAATCTGAGCAAAGCTATAACTTTTGTGAAGTTGTGACGTAATATTTTGTCGCGTCTGTCCCGGAACATCAAGAGCACGCTTAACAAATGTCTATAATTGGTCCCGAGAGGACACCACAGACGACAGCTCGAGGCTTGGCAGCGATTATGGCTGATTGTGAGAATGTGCTGATGAGACCTATTTTATAGTGTCTGGAACGACATTTGTGGGAGATTCACAGGCTCTCAAGGAGCTCAATATAGAACTGTCAAGTTTTTTATCCAAGAAATTGATATTGCAATGAGTTTGACCTTGGCTCATAGTGAGCAGATCGCGTCGCTCAAGTGGTCTGCAAGCTAGGAATTATTGTTAGAAATTGGGAACTGATCGGCATGCCTCCTTTAACTACTGTGCGCATTGATCAAAATAGTCTTTAACATTTCCAACCCTTGGCACCATATGTTGGTCCTCAGTGAGGGCATATAATTACCCAGCCGCAAGCTGTACTCCCGACGGATGATCACATAGAAAGTGCCTTTAAAGCAAGTTTTGCGCGTTCATCATGCTTCCTACCGGATACAAGACTCACATATAGGTATTCAAGGAGCTCACCGCGGCGCCGAGGGCGACTTTAAGTGTATACAATCCATAACTCACGATGTGCTTTTGTATAGAGTAACCCGTCAAAAGTTGCTGCGATTCTTGTGCTTGCGGATGGACACACTCAGCTTGTTCAGCCTGTACCAGCTTGGCCTACCTCATTGTGAGTTCCGCGCGTATGAGAACAGTCACGGCGTTTGCAATCCGTTCAATGGTGATGCAAAGCGTAAAGAGAACATTAATCTTATGAAGATCGCCGACCTAGTTGCGAGCGATTTGACCTCAGGAGAGAGCAGGTGTTGAGTCAGGCCTAGACGTATGACAATACATCGGCGATCTCACCAGGCCTGGCTCTCAAGGCGTCGGTTGCAGGATGAGTATCTTCTCGAACGAAAGATCTAAATAAATACGCAAATATCCGGTTGCAATATAAGCTTCAAGCTTAGTATTTATTGGATGCCAATACCTTTAGGATCCAATTAATCAATCAGCCAATCACGCGGCATCGGCACCCAAAGTGCTTGTGTATATCAAAGCGAGCTTCGAAGATCGAGTCCATTAATCATGAACAGTTTTGATTGGGGTAAAAGCAGCCTTTCACTTGAGAGATCACTATATATAATATAATTAATAGAGGGCCATTTCATCGGCAACTACTATAGTTTCTCGAAAGGCTATTGATTCAGGTGCTCGGCGAGCTCATCCATTGCACTTTACTTAGCGCGAACTTTTAGAATCAAAGCGCGAGGTGTGCGGATAACCGCGTTACACCAGTCGTTCAGCAGGATACTTGTTAGAGACTCGGAAGTGAAGAAATGTTGATAAATTAATAAGATGAGGCATGATAGTGTTCTGTTGGCTGAACGAGCTAATTGCTCAACATATGCGCTTACATTATTGCAGTGTCGATTTAAAAAATATATCAATTATTTGTCTTCTCTTCTATACCATAATGAGCGAGTAGTCCCCATGTTGACACAAATCACACGGTATTTGTGATAATTTCTGCGAAGACGTCTCGGTGAACAAAAGTCAATTATTTGAAGGTAACTTCAGCTCAGGCACTGAGTCTGGAAAGCTCAGTCTCCAGAAATCATCCGGTGTTTGATATGGTTCAAATCTCGCTCGATGACGTGAGCATTTCTTCTTGTGAGTCATAGAATCCGTCGAGTCAAGCCCCCCCAGTGCATCGTAATACTTTTTGCACTCAATGCAATCATGTGCCGGCAAATTTCTTCTCTCGTCTCGGTTCCGTACTACTTCAACAAAAGCAAAGTTTTTAGTATTATGTAGTGACTGCTTGGTACCTACGTTTTCTTTGTCAGCATTTGAAGTTGTTGACTTCGAACTCTGCTCCCACTTGTGTTTCTTGAGCATCTTTTCTTTTTCTTCAGCCCATGTAGCAGCCAATTGACTTTTTGCTCTCTTTGACGGGAATTTAAACGAAGAAGTCTTCTCGTTCTTCTCTTGAACCTGTTTTTTCACTTGAGTTTCAGCTTCGTTTTCCTTCACTGGACCTAGATCTGACGAGTTGGTAGTCTTTTTCTGTATCCAAGACGGAGACGTAGAGGAGCTAAGCTTCTTACAGCTGCTTGTATTATTTATTCCGAGTTTGCCGTCGCCATTTTTTCTTTCGAGATGCGCATCGGCTCGTTGAGCTGCCTGAAATGTGCTAAGCGCGTGCTGATATTTATCCAATAACTTTTGCTGTTCCTGCAAAGTTCTCTGTAAGAGCTTAAAGCGCTTAGCAAGCGCAGTTGATTTTTGCTCCTGCCTTCGAATCGTAGCGAGAAGCGCCTCCTTTTCGTCAGGCCACGCCATAATATTTAAAATGTCGCACACTAAGTTTGTCTCCTTACATAATTTATTACAGAATGCGACTTATTGAAAAATTTGAAGTTCAGTTGAGCATCTGATTTCTTGTGCCATTAGCACATCGTTTCGTATGTCTTGTCGTAAATGATAGGAATATGATCACCATAGAAGCTCAACTTACAACTGTTTTTTCTTCCTGTGTCAATCACAGCTAGTTATTACAAGCTCATTATAAATTGCAGTATAATAAGGATTTGCGAAATCGCAATTCTTACCACGTAATGAAGAACTTATCGAGTACTTACTGCAATGACAGAAGACATATTTGTATTTGTTGTGTACCATCTATCGCAAGTTTAGCATCCTAGCGAAACGCTGACTGTTAGCTTTGCTGAGAATGCGCTGTATTCTCGAGCTAATATAGAGACCGAAACTTATCGGCAATTTGAGTGATCAATATAAAAAAACCGAGAAATCAGCTCAAGGTTCTGCAGCTAGATCATCCATTAGGAGCACTGAGGTGGTGCGTGTTAGCAGTGTATCATTGTAGCTGATTCACTAATGGTGCAATCTTTTTATTCTGGATATAATATGCTCACTGACTCATCGATACCGCAAGTATAGCTCCAAGTCTTTAAAAAGTCGATATTCTTATCATTTCTTGTGTTTTATGGCAAACACTGCAAATCTCAAGAGTAACCGATCAGGTTCTGTGTATGGTAAGGTAACCTGGTATGATTCCAATTATTTCGACCTGAAGGTGATTTTTTATCATATCATCCGTATGTTTTAAACATCTGCTGAAAATTTTGACCAAACTTGTCTATTCCTATCCACGTTTTCAGTCAAGCCCTTGTTTTAGCTTACTTAAAGCGATATATTACAATACTAGACTCGACGATCCCACATACAGTCTATTGGTTTCTACGTCCAAACAATCACTCACCCCCCCTTTTTAGCATCCTCAGAGGCCAGATCTGAAGCACGACAGAACAATTAGCGACCAGTCTGTCTATTTCAGCGCTCACTCCGAAGAAAAGCCTCATGCGGTTTGACGGTCTGCGCACCCGTAGTGCTAGCGCCCTGCCTACGCCCAAACCCGCGGTGTCCGATGTGCGTCCGCAACGAGGCCACAGTGCTTTACCACCCGCTACAACCTCGATTCCACATAGTATGACGCGTACTATTCTGCGTCACGCGGTTCCACAAGCGGCCTCGCCCAAAGTAGCAGCATCCAAGACATACTCGGAATCTGCGCTACCACCAGTCGATAAGCTTTTTCCACGTTCTGATCTAGAGCCACGTATGAAAAAACACTTGGTGCGTGTAGCTAATGAAACATCTAATGCATTGATCCGAGACACACTTGGTCAAGGTTCGTATAGCAGTAAACAGTGGCGACCTGCACAGCGATCACGAAGCTCTGCCGGTAGTATTAACGTATTACATGGTCAAAATCGAGGTGCAAGAGATGTTAAAGATGCTACGTGCGTACGAGCTGTAAGTGATGACGTGCATGCGAGTATCGAAGAGTTTGCGCTATTGTTCAAGCTAGACTCAAGTCGTGAAGCAGCTGACCATTTGTTGCTCTTTAACGCGGACTTAATGCAACATGCAACTTTATATACACTCGTAGCACCCTCTGGTGAGCAGCCACGACGGTATGTGGGCGTTAAGTGGGCGCTTGTTGCGTCGCCATCGCGATTTTTTCGAAATCGTGATTTTTGCTATCTTGAGTGTCAAAAAGAATTTACAGATGCCAAAGGACGACGTGGTTGGGTACGATCGTTGCATTCATTAAAGCTACCATGCTGTCCATCACTTGAGAAAGAACATGGCGTTGTACGTGCGAGTATCTACCGGTCGGGACTTACGGCTGTCGAAACGGATGAACCGGGTGTACTTAGTGTCACGTATACAGTTGAGCTTGATTTAAAAGGGCGGATGGCGTTGGAATTATTACAGCCTGGATTTGTCGCTCAGCGTGTGGCAGCACTAGCCACGGTGGACAAGCTCTTGCAGCAACAACGTTTAAGTAGTAGTCCATTGCTAGGAGATTTGGATATTCCAGCGAAAAAACGCATGCGTGGCAGCTGCAACTTATGCTTTCGAGAATTTGTAACGACAGGAGGAATTCGAGATACATTTGCAGCGATTACGAATATGTCGACAAAATCTAAGCGCTATGTTTGTCGCAAGTGTGGTGAAGGTGTGTGTAAACGATGTAGTGATGACTGGTGGCTTGATGTGCCAGTGGTTGGACGTACAAAAGTTCGTATATGTACCGTATGTTCCGCCGAAGCTAAACACTCACATATCTCAGCACATACGATACGTGCTGGTACATGTCCAGTGCAAGGACATGACAGAGAACCGACAACGGAGGTAGAAGGTGTGACTCATCCAAATTTATTGGACTTACCTCTGCGAGCCAGAGGACGTTCATTGTCGTTGCTGGATCGATCAAGTGATGTAGCAGCTTATTATGCACAACAAGAGGAAATTAAACGAGACTTAGAGATCCGTGCGACAGAACTAAATCGACGTGTAAAAATTTGGGACGAGATGCAAATGTACAATCGAGACACAGGTCTACTTTCCGACAAACAGCAAAATGAAATTTTACAAGAACAACATGTTCGTGAGAAACGACGCGTGTATGAGGCAAAGCACCCTTTAAGAGTGCCTTCCTCGAGAATGGTGGAACAGGAAGAAGAAAAAGAGGAGCCGGAAGCCGAGTTAGGACCGCAACATGGCCGGTATCGAAGTGTCTCTACGAGTGAGAAACCAGAGTTATCAAGTCTTGAACGGTACCCTTCGTTCATGTCGTCCGAATTGAGTGTAAGTAATGCCAGCGATCATGAAGAAGACGATTTTATTCGGCTCACCGCTGATACTGGCATGCGACTGTCTTCAGAATTCTGCGACAGTAATATATCTAACTATAAGGAACATGATAATTCGGGTGAGATCCGTACTACTACGGATGTAACACGCTGGTGGCAACATCAACAAGCCACCAGCGAATCAAGCGCACAGTCAAATGTCCATCCACAAAATGCTACCACTCCCGTGGTGAACTTTGCAGCTCTTAGCATCAATGATCGCGGGGCGCAAATCAATATCCAAAAACCACTACAAAAACGGCGTGCACCGGCGGCTCCTTTAACAACACAGGAACAGGACTTGGCTGATTTATACCACTGGAAGCAAGAGATTTTAATCGAAAATCGACAAAAGCACTTTGATATCGTCAAGCACCGACAACAAATGCAGGAGTTTGAAGAACAGGCGCGCTATCACGAAGAACAGGCTCGTCGTCAGCAGCAGCTTGATTTTGAGGAGATGGCTCAGTATCAAGAGGAGCAGCTTCGTCGTCGAGGTGAATCGCTCGATGCGCCTGTGTGCTCACCTGAGATTCCGCAACGTGTATGGCATCAACCAATTCAGCAGCGTCATCATGAATTGGATTGTTTGCAATCTTGCCATCATCAATTACGTGATGATGAGCGACCAAGCAGTAGCCAATTTGTCACTGGTTCTAGTTCCTCTGACGTCGCGAAGGAAAAACATCTACAGAATCAGCGGCAGCAACATCTCGCGGTCGCTTCTGAGCGCAACGAGGAGTCTTGTCCTCGTTTGAACAGTGCGCCTGATGAGACTTCTGGGGATGACGTTGAGCATATGGAAACGTCTCAGGGTGAGTGGGTTCCGATTGACGAAGCGCTCGCTAGAAGAGCGACTTCTGACTTTGCTTCGATTGTGAGCTCGCCTTTACATGGTTAAAGCACTCGTCACCATAACACTGCTCGATAAATGCTCAGCTGTATGCGTAACGCCACAAAAGCGATTTAGACGATGAGAATTTATATGGTACTGCTTTATTCGACGGCAAATGAGCAGTAATACGACATCAACAAGCATTGTAAAGCGTTTTCTTCAAGTGACATGCATGGTAATGTAGTCCTAAGTTTCTGGAGTTGGTACTCTGTAATATTATGGTTTAAGGAAATATTTTGATGTAATATTTCATTGACTTCATTTTTCGGGGTATGATCTAAGGTTACAAAATAGACTGATCTACATGACAAAAAACCTTTATATTGTCGACCAGCACAATTTCTACAATATAATTCAGCGGGCGTACCGAAGGTGACAAATGCTGTCAGCAATTTCGTTTCGCTAAGCTCACCACACTCCATTTAGAAAAAAAAATGTGTTGAAAAATCAATTATAGAGGGAAATTGGGAAGCATATTAAAAAAATGGTGAACTACATAGTTGCAACGCACAATTTTTTTAGCCTTTGACTTTGTCAATCGTTAACAAAGACAAGGAAATAGAAATGCACAAAGAACGAGCTATAAATAAATCATAAAATACAAGTGACATGCCATATACGATTCAAGGAGAAGATCAATTGCAACAGAAGCAAAAAACTGAGCAAAATCAAACATAATAGTCATGAGATTAAGGGGAAAATGCTGAGGATCAAAAGTGAAGTATATATCTGCAAATTTGAACTTTTGTCTTGAAAATGAATATTTTTGGAAAGTGAGTTATACTCAACAGGTTATTCAGGTCTTCATGGTAAGATAGAAAAGTTGGAATACTGTACTAGACTTGGCAGTGTTGACTCTGAAAAATTTATTCCCATAATTGAGTTTTGAAAACAAATCAGAGCCTAGAATTCTTATGCTGTGATTTGTTTTCGTTTTGCAAAGTTCGCATGAAATCTTTTCTTCTTCAGACCAAATTTCGGAGATACACAAACACCGAATTGAGCGCAAATATGTTATTAGAATCTCAAAATTTGAGACAGAAGATCGAATGAAACTGCTACTTATTGTGGCTTTTCTAATTGCTAGACAATAGTCGTTCTTGTAGAAGGAATATGCCTGTAAATCACGACTTACCTGCTGGAATCCCATCCCGAGCACCATCTCGGGCTTCTAAAGCACGAATGTTGCCGGGATCGAATGTCGGGCGTTTCATAGCTCGCGAAGAGGAGCTTCATCAGGCAAGAACATATGCTTCCATCAATGAAACGAATGCTAATAGAGCATCTTGGGAGGAAAAACAAAACCGTTTATCGGGAAGCGGTGCTTGCATTCGACAGAGCAAGCGGTCTGTATTAAGCTTGATGGATAACGAGTCACGACGTTTTTAATGTGGCATGTATTTAGACTTGATGAGGAAAAAGAACTTCTGGGCAAGGAGGTTTTAGCAATTCGACAGGCTCGACTACAAAATTACTACGAGACTTGCTACCATGAGTACGCTGTGTGATGAGGATGGATAGAATTAGTATTGATGTTTCATAATTTTCTAGATGGGAGCAGGAACTGCGAGCACGTGGTTTGGCGCTTGTACGTGATCACGATTAAAGTTTTGCTATCGAGCCATGTCAAATTAAGGTATTGAGTTGACAACCTGGATATCTTTTGCTCAACATCGTCACATATTGCCGTCCGATCGGGAAGGTTTGAATGAATGTGGAGGCGCAACTTCTGACGGGTAGGCTAGCAGCAGCTGGTACAGCAGTATAGATACGTGTTTGAACGAGGGACCATTACAGTCGAAATAATTGATCTGAAAGATTTTTTTTTCAGAATTTTGTAAGAAGCTGAGAGCAGAGTACGAACAATGTGATGTCGTTTAACGTCGAGACCTATAAGCCGCATATTACAAGCGATAATAGGACTCCAAATGACAACTCTTCCTCTTTTTGTTCCGCATCTTGAGCTCGCAAACGGATACTTAACACCTTAACTCTATACTGCAATTCGCATTACAGAAATCCTTGATGAATTGGTTAGCATAGTGCTCGTTATACCAGATCCAAGCAGCCTTGCTCTTGGTAATATGATGGAATGCTCAACTCATCCAGATCAGCATTACCATATGTGCCTCCAGTATTTCTCAAACATGTAACTTGAAATTGGGCTTCTACTCAGCTCATAGTACTAAGAATTCAAAAAAATACTTAAATCAACTGATCAAGAATGTGACAACCAATGCTATTTGGTAAATATTTATACCAGGAACGTTTTTCATGCCTTTCGTCAATGAATTTTGCAACCCTTTACGGTCCTGTTGCAACTTTTTGCGCGGAGATAAACGGTGTGATTTTATCGTAAATACATTATCAAACCACAAATTGGGATCTTTTGCTTCTCTTATATAAAGTAGGCTAGTATAGAAATAAAAACTGTGCGACTATATTGAATTCCGAAAATAAACGAAGATTGTATCATATCTGCTTGCGACTTCGAGCCGTCGTGATCACACCATTTAAATCTCTAATGTCATCACTCTGCCAAAGCCATAAAGGGTGAAGTTACCACAGGAGACATAGATACGTAGATCCTGGCTATGAATCCCAGTGGAAGACTTAACACCATGTATCGATTCCAAATTTGTCCTTCGAGTGATATAAACCCTCTATGAAATGATAGACGAAGCCATCACAGCAAAACCACAAGGCTAATATGACCTGAGTATAGAAATTTACTAAGTTAATCTTATGCAGTTCGTAGCTTATTTCCCAGCAATCTCCCTTGATGTTATGGTTGTGTAGTCCCTACACCTTTTTGCGTGGTCATTTTGATCAGACTTATGTGAATTCATTCAAATCATTTCGACTATCAGATTAAACTGGTATTCGATCATATTTCACCTAACTTGTTGTTGCCGACGTGCTTCATGTAACGGGGTTTACGTACCCTGGTATGAAAGGGTGGGTCACACAAGATCGGTAAAATCACTCATTGGTGTGGCTACATCGTAACAAGAAGCCACTACGTGGCGGGACAGTCAGTAGTTATGCATATCCGTTTAGATTTTCTATTTCATTAGAAAACCTATCGATTTGGATATAGGAGGTCTGCCGCAAAGATAACAGATAAATACATTGATCAGAAGAGTACATTTGCCTTGGGTTAAGGTTATGGGTACTCTTGGAGATAGCGGATTGCGATCCGCAAACCTCATACTGGATATAGAATAGAACGTAAGTCCGGTGACCTTAGCTTAGCTTCCTTCAAGAAAGAGCAACGGCACTTCCGCTGCACTTGAAGGCACTTGTAGTCAATCCACGCCCGAGTCGTTAAGACTGATCCTCTGTGAGGATGGTGCGGTTCTCCTATTTGCCCCAGGGCATTCAGGACGGGCTTAAAAGCTGATATCCCTACTTGAACATGAGGGCGTGCAACACCTTGCTTTGCAAGGGCCCGAAGCGATAAGAACGCGGCTTGAGGCGCTTTCGAGCGATGAAAATACTCTGCCAGATCCGTCCTGCTCCAAAACAAACAGCAGCACGTGGCACTGGGTATCTTCAAACTCGAGGGTCGAGCGCGAGAATGGGCAACGACGTGCAATACTTCGGGGAAAGCGGCGCTCCCATCTTAGATGGAGCTGAAGTGTCAGTTGTTGCAAGTGTTCTCACCGCCTAATCAGGCATATTGCGCGCGATAGCGTTTCCTTGCCGCCCGGCAGGGCAAAATTAAATTTGCGGACTTCGTCCATGAGTTGCGTACTCTCTTTGCCGATATGGCAGACGATCTTCTTCCCGAGTTGGTCACAGTGACCGTCTTTATGGAGGGCCTCCGTACTGACTTGGTCGGAATAGAAGTCTTCCGTATGCATCCGCCTTTCTTAAAAAAAGCGGTGAATGTGGCATTGAATGCCGAATTCAACTTTAAGTCGGCACGACTTGGTTGGAATGCACACCATCAGAGCTCGTCGAGCGGGCCTGAGCCAACGGATCTCAGCTATGATAAGAAAGTGGAGGTAGAGCTTCGAGCTGCCGGGCAGCGTTCAAACTCGTTTTATATGTGGAGACACCTGTCACCTTCGGACTGGTTGCATCCTACGTAAGGCGCATCAAGGGTAATGGAACCGAAGTCCCGCTTCTCACCAGTCTGGTTTGTCGCGCGGAAACGACAACACCCAGAAGCCGCGAAGTGGTCTACTTGGGAAATGCTGAGTTCTGTTGAGCCCCAAAGAGGAAGAGGGCAGCAGGTGTAACGGGGTTATACGCACCCTGGTAACAGGGGTGTGTGTCACACGAGATGGGCATGGAGTGACTGCACCCAAATAAGAATACGGTACGTGGCTGGGTAGCCAGTAGTTATGCATGT